CGATGAAATGATTTTAGCTAATTCAAGTTGACTAGCCATATTTCTTTTTCGAACAAATTTAGATTTTAATTTAATGAAAAATGTAATTGGCAAAGCAATTGATTTAAAACTCGATGCCTCAAAGTTGGCTTGTGGTGCTGTACTTGCTCAATTGCACGATGGAGTAGAAAAGCCAATTGCGTTTGCCAGTAAGGCATTTACCAAAGGTGAATCTCATAAATCAACAATTGAACAGGAATTAACAGCAATTCATTGGGCAGTGTTACATTTCCGTCCGTATTTGTATGGACGTAAATTTTTGATAAAAACGGACCATCGTCCATTAATTTACCTCTTTTCAATGAAGAATCCCACTTCAAAGCTCACACGAATGAGATGGGATCTAGAAGAATACGATTTTTCAATCGAATATATCAATGGAAAATCAAACGTCGTTGCTGATGCGTTTTCTCGCATTCAGCTAGACATGAATGAATTAAAACAAATGTACGCCATTACAAGATCAATGTCAAAAAATACAGCAAATCCGCCAATTAATGATCCTCGAGTACAAAAGCTTGATCAACTTAATGTATTTGAAGCACTTAATAACGGCGATTCCACAAGAAAAATGAAAATCAAAATGAAAATAATAATAAAATGATAGCAATTGCAAACAATGATTTAATTTTTCAATATATTGACATGAATATGTTCAAAGATATTGGTAACGCGATCCTTAGGGATGCTACCGTAATGATTTATGAAAGGCCAAAAATAGTGACAAGTGAAGATGACATATTAGGAATTCTGAAACTTTATCATGAAAATCCTACCGGAGGACATTTAGGTACCAACCGGTTGTATAGAAAACTTAAAACTCTGTATTCGTGGCATAATATGAAAAAAACGTATAACCGACTACGTAAAAGGATGTATTTCATGCAAAATAAATAAGCACTATCCCAAAGTAAAAACAGAATTTGTTCAGACAACTACACCAACAAAAGCATTCGACATATTATCTATTGACACTGTTGGACCGTTGTATCGAAAAGTATGGCAGGAAATCCTGGAAGCAGCAGGTATGTTTTTTTGTTATTGAATGAAAAACCACAGAATTAACCATTCTTGATTTCATGAGCTGTTCTTTGGCATCATATTTTATTCAACCTTGGCTGTTTTTTTTGTTATTGAATGAAAAATCACAGAATTCACCATTCTTTATTTCATGAGCTGTTCTTTGAGGAAAACTTTTTCTTCTTTGACTTTTGCAATATGTGTGTAAGAATATATTACAACAAATGTGTGATTTTTTTTATTTCTAGATGCGATTGATTTCAAGATATAGTTCAAAACTAAGCTGAGTTTTCATTGTAAGATTACTTAACCACTATCGCTACTAATCATGGATCTAAGTAAATATGTAGATATGTCACTTATGATATGATAAATAATGGATTCCAAACTGTGCTTATTAAATAAACTATGTTTGTTTAACTTGTATAATTTTTTATTCAACGTTAAGCCTAATTTAAGCATTGTTTACAGGTTTACAGGTTAAGCAGGTTTCTAGAGTTGCACAGCAGCAAGGTATTTTATGCCTAACGTCCATTATGCCTAACGTATATTATGCCTAACGTCCATTATGCCTAATGACTTTATGCCTAACGTCCATTATGCCTAACGTCCGTATGCCTAACGTCCGTATGCCTAACGTCCGTATGCCTAACGTACATATTTATGCCTAATGGGGTACACTCAAAAATTAGACCCGGTATATTCAGGACCACATACGATTACAGGATTAACAAAAAGCAATGCAATAATATCAAATAACAATAACCAGCAACAACTTCAGGTTCACAAAACTCGACTTACAAAATTTAATTCTTGTTAAAAATAGGATGAATTTATATAAACCATATTCAATTACAGAAAACACCATTCTTTCTTAAAAGGAGGAAGGGGTGCTTTTTCAACGGCGCCGGTGATGTAGTGGTAAGCGTGATTACCTCTCACCCCAGCAGGCCTGGGTTCAATCCCAGTTGGCGCCGCCGGGATGTTCTGAGGCATAACATCTCTGATCACGCCTTCCTTCGGATGGGAAGTAAAGCCGTTGGTCCCCGGTTCATGAGTTGATGGGTCGGTAGGTAGGGTCCAGGTGTGGGAGCTGCCTTCCTGGCAACGTCGGTAGCATTGGTGCTCAGCACGGAAAATAAGATCGACGGAAAAAAAAACCAAAGGAAAAAAAAAAAGAAGGGGTGCTTTATAAAAACAAAAAAAACCACAAAATATAGATACATGTATAATAATTAAACTGTGAGAGGCATTTGAAGCAAAACCGAATCAGTTACATTTCTCCTTTTGGCCCGTAGGGGAATTGGTGTGACATGTGCGTACCACATGTCATTGCTATTTTTCTATCATGCACTTTTAGCAGACCACACTTGTGGGAATATGCTGCGTAGCTAAATCACACCCAGCAGCATTGAACCTTCAGTTCAATGCTTGTTCAAACCTACTCAGCATTTATGACGACAAATAAAGGTGTCGTATGATATAGCATTATATACTCGGTGCATCAAGTGTCTCCAACTTAGACTCTATATGAAAAATAGGAATCAGAATAAATTAATTCCATTTCAACCTTCAAACGTGACGTGTCGTGATTAGTAAAAGATATCACGGTCATGAGTCCGGCGACCAGGACCCAACACAGATGTTCCGGATCTTCCACAGGACCAGTCTTGTGACTTACCGGGAACTGACTATTCCCAAAAGGTGATCAACTATCTGCTTAACAACTTCTCCAAAGACATCAGGAAGTTATCTCTTCAAATTGCCGTACAATCAGTGTTTGGTCACAATTAACTCAAATTCCATATGCTACGTGTATTCGTTAATGCCGGATCGACCGTACTATAGGATTCCAGTGGCAACCGTACTATAGGAATCCGGCAAGAACGAATCCGTACTATAGGAATCTTGACTGTAGTTTCATATTATCATATAAATTCATTATGTAGGGATGGGACCAGGAGATGGCTAGAGACCTCCACAGCTCAGGATGTGAGCAAAGTGAGAAGAATAAATGTCTGCTAAAATAAATTTGATTTGGCTCCATTTGAATTATTTTGGTAGGGAAAACACAATAATGTATTGCGTACTATTATTATTTGAGATAATTCAATGTAGACGTCTTTCCAAGTTTGCAAATCGACAGGTACCACCTAGCATTGGGCGATCTTAAGGCAAAAATCGATCTTAGTGAATCGATTTTTTTTTTTTTTTGAAAAAAATCGATTCACCTTTAATCAATTGTTTTGAATGAATCTTTTGAATCGATTCGTTTTTCAAAATGGCACAAAAATGTTTCAAATATATCGGACCATAGGAAAGTTGGTGCAGATTAACGCCAAGTTCAGTCTAAAGTTGATATTACGTTACATAAGCTATCTTGTTATGACATTCCACTCATAATAGTAATTTAGGGTGATGATTGATATCATTTAAAAATAAATTGTGTAGTACATACGCAGTAAAAGTTGTGAGTGTAACATACATACATGATGAGAATATAGTAAATGACTATTTTGATTTCATTTAACGTGAAAATTTTTGCTCAGGATACTTGATTAGGTGAGTGATATAACAGGTAATTATATTCGTTTTATTGGTATTCAATGATGTTAAAGACAGAAGTGGAAGAGAATGCGAAGTACTATACGAGAGCCGCACGGAGAGACGATTATAGAGCTTTTTGATGTTTAATCGGCGCACACTACTGCACCTTTTAAATCGAATGAGCGCGATCAAGAGGGAAATAGATTAGTGGGAAAACAAACCATCCGTTCATTCATGTGTGCTAGATAAAGAAACACAATTAAACGTCAAAAAGGTTTATAATCGTCTCTGGAGCCCCAAACCTTTTCTTTCTCGTTTTGCCTACTGAACTGTCACACTGGTTGTTTGCAGAATCCATGTTCAAAGCAAGTGATGTGCAAAGGTGAAGACAAAAAAAAATCAATATTAAATTGCAAATGCAAATCACTGAATTTTTTTTTGGATCGAAACAAAAACCGAATGAAAAGGATCGATCCAGTCGATTTTTGTCTTGTTTGAGATCGATTCAAAAAATCAATAAATCGAACCAAAAGAATAGATCTTTTGAGTTTCCATCCAAGATCGCCCATTGCTAAGCACGATGCTACGAAGCGGACCCAAAGATTCACTCTTAAATGCATAATTTTTTATTATTTTGGGATGATTTTTTTTTTTCATGCGCTTTCTATTGAAATGTTGTTCCACCATGTTTAAAGACAAACATAGATATGTTACCTTATGGCAACACTATGCATTTAAGGGTTAAATGAGCGACCCCCTGCCCTCCCCTCATTTTTTTCTGAAATACTTTGGTGTTATGCTAAAAATCTTTTATTTTTCGAAAAGCGAGTGTGCTACGATTTTTACGCGAGTTTTTTATGCGATACTTTACTTTTAAAAAATCACATTTTTTTATTTAAATCCTGCACAGAGAGAGAGGGGCGGTAGCTCTCCAACACAAGAAGAATGAAATGTGCTGCACGATTTAAAATGCTCTTTCACTGTTCTGAAAATTGGCATATCCAATTTTTTTTTTCCTTTGGTTTGTTTTTTCCGTCGATCTTGTTTTCCGTGCTGAGCACCAATGCTACCGACGTGCCAGGAAGGCAGCTCCCACACCTGGACCCTACCTATCGGCCCATCAACTCATGAACCGGGGACCAACGGCTTTACTTCCCATCCGAAGGAAGGCGTGATCAGAGATGTTATGCCTCAGAACATCCCGGCGGCGCCGACTGGGATTGAACCCAGGCCTGCTGGGGTGAGAGGTAATCACGCTTACTACTACACCACCGGCGCCGTTGATATTCAATTATGGAGTAGTACATTTTTCGATGATGACTAAATTTGCTCCAAAGGAAAGGTTTGTTTTCAAGTTACCACAGTTGTTGCGACTAGAATTATACAATACTTACCAAGCACCATGCCTGCTAGAACCACATAAGTTATGTATGCCATGGTGGGTATATATAAATCTGGTGCATTGATATCGTAACGAGGTTGCACAGGATTATCATGATCGTATTTTAAGGACCAATCCTAAAATCAGAAACAAAAAGAATAAAAATCAAGAGTGCAAAATGAGCCAGTATCATTACATACCCTTTGTGTGTACGGGAAGAAAATTAAGCGAAGTTTATTCATCACGTATTTATTATCTACGGCAAAATAGTATTTCAGCTTCGTTACTGGGATATACTTCTCGATATGGGTATGTACAATTTCTTTGCCCTGATCAGCCAACTTTTGTCCATATTGTAGTGCCATACCTTGCACCATAGGTTGTTGAAAAACAGAAAACTGAGTTGGGAAACTACCATTGTCAGGACCCTGTTGATTCTTCACAGGCTGATGTTGTGAAACATTTGGTTGTGATTGTGGCACATTTGGTATATTTGAAAATTGATTAAAACCATAGTCATTGCTTGCCATGTATTGATTAGAGCCATATCCAGTGTTGTTTACTATTGGCGGCGCGTTTTGTTCAAAAGCGTTGAATTGGGGTGCAAAAGTAGCTGGAGCACCCATAGCGTTTAAATCGCTCACCCGTTTAGGTTTTTTCGGTCCTGCACTGGAAGCTGAAAAGAGAAACACGTTTAATAAGTCCAGATGTGGGAGCTGCCTCCCTGGCGTCGGTAGAATTGGTACTCAGTACGGAAAACAAGATCGACGGAAAACAAATCAAAGAAAAAAAAACAGTCTGCACATAGCATTACTATAATGCTATGTTCGCAATAAGGAGTTATACAATGTTACACGGCTATACTGCCCATAATCGCATATCAGTCCCATATGGATAGGAAATCAAGCAAAGATGGGACTGATATGCGATTATGGGTAGTATATCGATGGCATTTTTCATGTCGATAATTATTACAACAACCTTGTAGCATGTTATAACTCTGTAATCTGAACAAGGCATAAGTTGCTGGAAATCATATACATCAGAGTGCAGAAAATACAGGAACATACTTTTGCTGTACTGATACTCGCCGGAATATGTTCCGGTCATAGTTCCGGAACCAGCGGAACGATCCCAAAAAAACATTCAATAACGTTCTACTGTTGAATATTATGCTAAACTAAAGCAGCATCGTCATGGCATTGTGACTGACTTGCGGTTATTTTTTCCAATTGACGATAAATGTAATCTCAAGTCAGTCGCACTCTGATTATGGACATAACATAAAAAAATATACTAGGTGTGGTGAACCTCCTTGGGAATGTTTTTTTTTAGGTTTTTTTTTATTCATTATAGTCCCCTTTTGTATGTAAAGTACACCACTCATTACTGCAGGCACAACCATTAGACAGTGGACTGTACTGCCCATAATCGCAAGTCAGTCCCATCTGTAAAAAACTGGAAATGAGAAAACGGCGTTCAAAGATTTTACAAGTTTTCTGATTTGACACTTATCTTTGAGGGATAAATTTTAAAATAAACGTACAATTTGATTGAATGCATCTCCGGGGAACTTTGAGATTTGGGCGTAATTGCTTTTGTAAACAAACATTTCAATCGCTGATTTCTCGCGAATAAAAGAACAATCTAGTAAACAAACTATACCAAATGATAGAGGAACCATTCATCTACCTGTTTGTGTTGTTAGTTTTTTAGATTGAGCTTTAATTCGCGAGGAATCGTCAAATCAAGTGTTTGTTTAAAAAAGCAATTACGCCCTAATCTCGAAGTTCTCCGGATCTATGTTTACCCGTAAATTTTGAAAAAAAACATTGTGAAATTTTTATTTTATGGCCAAAATCTGAGTGGGACTGACTTGCGATTACATTTAACGTCAATGAGAAAAATAACCGCAAGTCAGTCACAATTCCATGACGATGCTGCATTAGTTTAGCACAGTATTAAACAGTAGAAAGATACCATGGTTCCATAGAACACTATTGAATGCTTGTGGATTTGTTCCAGAGCAATGGCCGGAACATATTCCGGTGAGTATGGGTCTTCATCAGACCATAGCTTTTCATAAACGTGCCAAACCCTCCATACGATAAATCAATTCACATGAGAATTCAAAAATAAGATCAATAAGAGTCATGATGAGTGACCAGCACCATGTAGACCACACCCGGACATGTTCCAGGGATTCTGTGATACTACCCCGAATGTCACTACCCCGAACGGTACACTACCCCGAACGCCGTTACCCCGAATAGTACACTACCCCGAATGGCCACTACCCCGAAATTAAGACAAATGGAAGAACAGCAAGGGATCAAAAGAAGGGTAAATTTTTGAGAAGGAAATTTCCTTTTCTAATTTATACTGAATACAAATTATAGGATTCTATAACATTCTCTAGAAAACCATTCCTCAGAATCTCATTCCCCAGAATGCACCATGCCCAGAATGTACCATTCCCTAGAAAAGTATGCCATGTATTAGATTGACTATTTTTGTTTATCATACACTCATAAAATATATCACATAACCAGTGGAAAATATCCATGTGAATTTCACATAACTTTCATGTGATCCCATAATTGGAAATTTCACCATCAAATCACATGAACGTTATGTGTCCAATGAAATCTATGTGATTTTTCATATAGAATTTCTAATGCTATGTGATATTCAGGTAAAAATCTTTGTTTTTGTTTTTGGAAAAATACTATTTGCGTTCCTAATAGAAATTAAGTGAAAACTTTTTTCAGTGTAGTCACTCCTGGAATCTTCTTACGCGTATAAAAAAAAAAAAAAACTTCTTAGGGTCTGTTCGTAAACTACGTAGACAGTTGGGGTCGGTTGGCAATTGTGCACGGTCCATACAAATTTTAAAAATTTTGTATGGAAAATTGTCTACGCAGGGGGGGGGGTCAAAAATAAAAAAAAAAGTGTCTACGTAGTTAATGAACAGCCCCTTAATGGCTCAAGGGGGTTTCCCATCTTTTTTTGTTTTTTTTTTATCCCCGTAGGATTGCAATGATCGGGGTTGATGAGAAAAATTTTCAAGTGACTACGATGCCGGACGGATGAGTCTATGGTGACCAATTAAACACCGGATTTACGATATTGATTAATCATAATCTTCTTGAAAATCTTTATGGTTCGGTAATCATTGGTCTGTCTTTGTCTATGTCTTCTTCTCATCCGTACGTCAGTTTTAATGTCTGGATGTTTTCTTGTCTAATGTCATGATGTGTTTGTGTATCAGGGTGTGTGTGTGTGTGGGTGTGTTTGTGTGTTTGCACCAAAAGATTATATTTCTTCCTCATCTCCTAGTTTTAACGGCGTTCAAAAATAATTACCTTAAAAAAATAAATAAATAAAAAAAAATATTAAAAAAACAAACAAACAAACAAAAAACGTTGCAAAAGTTCATACCATAATATATCTAACTTACTATCCACATTTTTTACTAATACCTAAATGTAATTTTTAATTTTATGACGATAAGTTGCTCAAAAGCCTGTAATTCCGTACCAGAATCCGCCTCCAATTTAATGTCTTTCGATATTTTCGAAGGCGAACACTCCGCAACCTATCATTGCTAGTGATTCTTCCCAATTGTTAGGTATCCAAATTACAGGGCTGTTACAAGATTTTCTAAATTTGAACCGCGAAATCCGCGATTTCTCAAAAGAAATCTGCGACTTCAAATACTAATCCGCGACAAAAAAAAAACTGTTTTCATTGTCTAAAAATAGCATTTGTATACTACTACATGGCATTTCAAGCCTATTGCTTATGTAGTAGCATATTAGATTTTTGCCTGCTCTCAACTTAGTGTTCTTTGAAGTACTTTCACATTTTAATTGAGAGCTTTCTATGCCTGTACCATCATATGCCAAAGAAAGTAGAGAAATTTTCCAACCCGAAAAATTAATAGACCGGACGGGAATCGAACTCAGTCCCCTCCAGCATGGACTTGCTTTGTAGCTGCGCCTTTACCGACTGAGCTAAAAGAGTATCGTTTGTAACCTTTGATTTTTTTTAAATAGCATTTATCATCTGAGTAATTAGTGAACATAATAAAACACCCTTACATTATGAGATTCTATTGAATACTACGGGCCTAGATTTGATGAAACATTATTTAAAAAAAACGCATTTTAATTTGCAATGTAATTTTTTTTTAAATTTAACCTTTGCGTCTCTGACGTATTCAAACCAAATACCTTGCACATAATCGAGATATTACCATAGTTTCATAAGTCACACTTGTTGGTCACGTCACGGTTGTGTGTTTTCACGGATATTCCTTGAGTTGTGTTCTAATGTGAACCTAGCACTTTTCGTTGTCAAATAATAACCGAATAATATATATGTGACTTTATGGATCATGCACGACTTATTACTATGTATACAGAAAATTAAAGGTTTTCCAAATCGTCCAGGACATCAGTTGATTTGTTCTACTAGATCAACCAAGACTGCAATAATGTCTGTAGTATCGAAAAATGTCCAATCAGATTCAAAGTGTCTATATGGATAATGTTTAATTATTTCCACGTATACCAGATGATCTAGGTTCTCCAAATCGTCCTGCAGTTCAGATGATTTGTTTAACTAGATCAACAAAGACTAGGATAATATCTGTAGTATCGAATTATCGATTTGGAAATCCTAGAACATTTGGCATGATCCACATAGACACTGCAAATTTATTTGGGCATATTTCGATACTACAGATATTGAATTAGTCTTGGGTGATCTAGTAGAAAAATAATCTAATATCCCAAATGATTTCAGAACTTATTGCATCTTGTATACGTAGCAATAGGTCGGGTACAATCCACATAGACACTTTGAATCTGTTTGGATATATTTCGATACTACAGACATTATTGGAGTCTTGGTTGATATAGTAGAACAAATCAACTGAACTCCAGGACGATTTGGAGAACCTAAAATACCGGTATACATGGCAATTGCTCGCATAAAGGGTTATACGGTCAAAATTTGGTCAATATCAACTTGACGTATTTCTTTCAATTTTGCATTTAAAAAACCTGAACACCCCTCATTTTGAAGGTGTGTGTGTGTGTAGAATGTTGCTCCTATTTTGATTTTGGAATTCACTCTTCAGTTGTCAAAATGCCGTCCAAGCAAGAAGAGCAGCTATCAAAATTTTGCTCGCGCATCGCGAAAATCCGAGCTACTCGCACGCAAAGTTGGCAAAATCGCTAAAAGTTGCCAAATCAACCGTTACAAATGTAATTAAAGTGTTTGGGGAACGTTTGTCGACAGCCAGGAAGTCTGGATCGGGGGGAAATCGAAAACCGGAAGCCGCTGAGACGACTAAGAGAGTTGCCGGTAGTTTCAAGCGAAACCCTAACCTCTCTCTCCGAGATGCCGCAAATAAGCTGGGTGTATCGTCTACAACTGTGCATCGAGCCAAAAAACGAGTCGACTTACAAGAAGGTAGTGACTCCAAATCGCGATGATAAACAAAATACGACGGCCAAAGCGCGATCCCGGAGGCTGTACACGACGATGCTGACGAAGTTTGACTGCGTGGTAATGGACGACGAAACCTACGTCAAAGCCGACTACAAGCAGCATCCGGGACAGGAGTTTTATACGGCAAAAGGAAGGGGAAAGGTAGCAGATGTTTTC